CGTTTTCAACGAGGTTGTATATCTTATTTTTTTAGTTGTTCTATTAATTGTGCATATTATAAGTGTTTCAGAAAGTCAGTATGGATATCTCCAAGATGGATAGATACATGGCTCCTGTGAGCATTGCCAGTCTCCCACTCCTCACCATCTTCCTCTGTGGGTTTGGCCTCTTCCTACTTGCTGCGTTTACCATGCTCCAGGTACTGTTTCCTAGAAAACCTTGACTTATTTTCCAAAATAAATATGTTTAGGTTACTTCTACCAAGTACAATCGCAATTTGCCGAAGGAACTCTTCGTAGCTGCCACATCATCGATCTTCCTCGGCTTCGGATCAGTCTTTCTTCTCCTTTGGGTCGGGATTTACGTCTGAGCGTTTCATACAATTGAATTTCAAAACTTGGGGCAACTGTGATTTTCATTTAGATCAAAAATGTTTTATTAAATTAATTTATTCATTGTGGTTATAGCTTTTCGATTGTTGTATCCTCGGGCTCTCTAAAATCGTTCCATCTTTTAAATCGATTGCCAATGAAAACAATAAAGTATTTATTTGGGAACCCGTTTCACGGTGTGAACAGAATGTGCGAATGGGATGAAACACAAGAAAAAAAATACCCGAATGAAAAAAATTCAATGTTATCAATAATGAGAATTAGCTGGAGTCAGATGTTTTACAAAACTGTTGACACTCCAATCGGTTGTTGAATTGATTTTGATTTCCTCCACATTTCTGGACACCAAATGGATAACATTCCTGGGTGGCAACGTCAAAATAGTAACGAGTGAGAAGATCCATTTCAGAAGAATTGGCAGAAGTATCACAGAGGGCAGAATCTGAACATTAAGAACTTTGAGATCAGTCTTTTCCAATTATATTCCTTATCTATACCGTATATAGACTTTACGATATTCTTTTTAGTGTGAGAGGAAAACAGAGCCCACCCTAGGAGTATATTTTCTGTTGTGTTGTTTAACTTCTCCTAATATTTGTCCTGAGAGAAGGAAAACTATATCCAATAAATCACACATCAAGAGAGAAAGATCAGTTGGAGACTATGGTTGACTGGATGAGTTAAAGGTGGCCGGACAGGAAAGCCTCGTGGTGCAGAAAGTAGTGCAAATACGCAGTTTAACGTAAGATGTGGTACATGCACTAATTTGTCAGTTTACCACTTTTTGGAATAAGACAAAAATAATTGCCATCCGTGGGGTCGAACTTACACTCCACGCCAGTTTGGTACCGCGCGCACTACCGACTGCGCCACACGAGCGAAAATAAGAAATACCTATTACTGCCCTCATAAACTCGGCTGTTTTGTAACTTTGAACAGAGATGATATGACTACTTTTTGAATTGAAATTTGAGTTTAGTGTTCTTCATTTTTCAATTCTTCCAAAAATACTTTTTTGCTGTCCGGCCACCTTTAATGAAATTAATACAATTCGTATTGGATTTATTACTTATTTTGTATAGTTTTCATTTTGTATGAATATAAGAATAGAATACACTCTTAATACTCTTCAAATTTTGAGTGAAACAATCAGAATTCAGCAGATAGAATTCTGATAAATTCATGTCGAATCGGCGAAGTCGAGTAGGAGATCACCAACTGAATAAATCAGTTTGAGAAGGATTTTCACAGTACCTGGTGGCAAATAACAAATACTTGGATAAGTGACTGGAGAAGCAAACACTGGTGGATCTGGATATCTGGACTTGGCTTCAATAGTAGCCACTACCAGAAGAGTGACGACTGGTAAAATATGCATCTGAAAAATCAAGAAACATGAAACTTTTAACGTAACACAGAACACAAGAAATAATGGAAGATGAGCCGGTTGTTAAGAGAACATAGAGCGGAAATAGAGAAGGACAAACAGCAAATAATCAGACGGGAAGTTTATCAAGAGGTGGGATTTTTTCTTGATATACAAGAACAATTTGGCACAAGAAGAAGAAGAAGGATAGTGTGTAGGTTCGTCATAAATCCTTTCGTACTATACAATATTATTCTAGATTTGAGCAACTATTTGAGGAATAAGAACTGGTTCTACCCAATAGTTTTCAACAAATGTTTTGCTTGCTGCGACAAGGAATGTGTCAATACAGGAGCAAATGATCATCTTGAGAAATGTTGACAAACTTATTGATTCGCTACGGCAAAAAAAGATGGAAAAAACACTTGGATAAAAAAAAAGAGAATCTCTTGAGGAATTGAAATTATTAAAGTAATTGGCTTCGTTTCATTTCTGTCGAATATTCTCCTCGTGTCAAAAGGAAAACATGGTACTAACTTTGAAGCGACCTGTCGGCTGCTGCTGTCTACCTATTCGTAATTATCGCATTATTGTGGATTTTTCGGAGAGTGACCACCAATATACTAAGTAGGTTAGAAGGCGGTAATTTAAAGAATTGAATAAGATGACCGTTCGTCAAGGTAGTAGGTTTAAAGAAAAAAACGGAAAATGAAATAAAGAACAATCATTTTATCAGAAGAACATAAGGGAAAAAGGTTTTTGAACATTAAAGAAGAGGGAAAAAAGGAAATGAAGCCAATCAAGACGCACCTTTCTTCAATCTTTCTAACGCTTCTGCTGATTTCTCGTGACGAAGTCAAAGGGAAAAGTTAGAAAAAAATGAAGAGAATAAGAGAAAAAGCGATGAAGATCGGTACCTGATTGACTGCATTGTAATAATATTGCCATTAGTAAAACAAGGGAGATCTTAGTGTGAAACAAGGTCGATTCCAGTTTCGAGATACACTAATCATAGGGACTGATCTAGATAAAAAATATTCAAAAAATTATGCAGAAGTTGTAAGAAAAGATGGTGTCAAATATATACAATACTTTGACACAATTTAAGGAAAAAGCTTCAAAAAGGCCACAAAATTATGATTTGATATCTTTAGGCTTATTGAAAAGTACGGTGTGCTTGACTGAAAAAGGGATTTATTCCAAGAAAGGGTTGAAAAACAAGCCACTACATTACTCTCTTGTCAATTTTCATTGCCAGAGATGTTCAACAGAAATGACCTTGGCCAAAATTTAGGTGAGAATACGATCACATGTTTCCCATATCAATTAGATCTATTCCAAGATTTCCTTTCCTGCCACAACACCTCTCCTTTTTTGCGGTACGAGAAAAGTCTAAAGGAAAAACAGAAAAGGTTTCTAGAATGAAGAAAAAGGAGAAAAAGTAGAGTAAACTTCGGAAGTTCAAGGAAATCGAAAACAGTTTCCACAAAAAAAAAAAAAAAGAAAACGAAAGTAAAACGAATGATGACCGGGAACAGCAAAAAAAGAAGAAGAAAGGACATTTTTTCAGTTGTTTTTGTAGGTATTGTAGAAGACAATTTATGGAAGAAACGAGTTTCAGTGCTACGTACCTTATTCTTTTCTTTTTCTTTGTTTCTTTCTTGCATCTATGTTTCAGCATTCTCTTGTTTTAAAATTAGGCCAACAAAAGGGATTCGACAGCATTTTTTCACACTTAAAACCGCTGACATACGTGTTTCATTTGATCCGTTACATCTTAAAATCCGCCTCGACGATTAACGAAAACCGACGGACAAAGGACACAAACAATGGCAAATCGAAAAAGTTTCTGGTTTTAGTTTTGACGACTTCTGGCAGAAAAAAAGAAAACAATTTTCGAAAACGAAGTTGAAAATGTTCTAGTAGAATGAAGAAAATAGGGAAACGAACTAATCGAATTAGACATCCATTATCCGGAATTGGGCTTCATGTTCTGTAACTTTGCACTTAGGAAGAAAAGCTTTTAAATTGGGTGGAAAATTCGAAAATGGATCTTTGGAAATGGGAAGATTCTAATTTTATTTTTATTTCTTTTTCTTTTTGGCTTCATCTGACGAGGTCAGCATTGGATGTATTGAGTTTTGATTATGATTTTGTTTTTAATTCAAAATTTTCCAAAATTTGAAAATTTGCTCAATTTCACCAGAATTGTATTACCACAATCTCTGAAAAGGAAATAATTAGCGCATGATGAAGTTACTACAAAAGTATGAAGTTATTTGGAAACTTTTGAGAAAAACATTTGTTTCCAATCAGAAGAAGATCAGAATCAGAAGTTTGAAAATAAGATGTCAAGAGACTCTTACGATAGAACTTCAAAATCCTAGAGAAAAGAAGTAAAATTCAAAACTTCGAGTTCTTGACATTTCTTGATGATGTCAGTTTTTCCGGATATTCTCGAGAAAATTACAAGAACGAACAAGGACACAACGGTCAGATGCGGCATAGGAGAAAGTATGTTGCTGAGGCAATAATCTAGATCTTCATCTGAATATTATTAATAATAATACAATAATAATAGAAACGAGCGTTGCGCATAGACATCGAAAAGGTGAAAGTACAAATTGGAGGGGCATAGTGACCGGACAAAAAAGTCATGTTGGATAGATTTGAATTGGCGGTCAAACATGTTGTTTCGGATGAATTGAATGGCTCGTGGCGGGCATCAGGGGTGGCCGGATACTGTCTTTTTCTGCTTTCACACGAATGCTTTTCACCGGTTATCTGATTGAAAAAGGACACGTCTTCGTGAATGAGAAGAAGAGACGCAGAGGGTGGTCCATGATGAACACTGACTTTTACGTTTTCTATTTTGAAAGAAATGAATTCTTACTAATCTTAGGATTAATCGACAGAAAGAGTGTGTTTCGGTTGGATTGTTGAAGCGGATAATTGTCAACTGGTTATTTAGAGAAACGTAACGAAATAACAAAAGGTTTTCCAATTATAATCAGAAGTCCAGAAACATGAAGCAGCATTTCGACATAATCACATAAGAAATGAAAAGTTGATCGGAAGTTTCATGGGAAACAACACTTCGACGACCTAACGCCTGTTTGCACATCTCATTTCGCCGGCGAGCTGGCCAACCTTCTTTCCTCCGAAGCTTTGTTGTGTTTTCTTTGAGGCTTCTCGTGTTCTTTGCGGATTATCATCAGTCGTTTTGTGAACAAAAAATAACTTTCCATGCCGGGAATCGAACCCGACTCGCGTGAGTGACAACTACGAACCCTAACCATTGCAATAGACCACATGGGAGTTCAAAATCATGGGTTCAATGAATCGACAGATGTATAGGGGAATGAGAGGAAAAAAGTGAAGACTAGGAAGAGGAAGAAGATTTTCGTAAGAGGAGTAAGGTAAGAACAAATGAGAAAATACGAGGATCTTATGAACAAAAAAAAAAGAAAAAGGGAACAATTTTAATACATTCAAACGTTCAGGTAACATCATCAGCTGATACGTTCACTTATCATCAACTAAGATCTGGCCGTGAACATCCATAAACTATAATTATGTCATATCTTGTAATGGCATTCTTCATTCTGATGAAGAAAGCCAGATAGCAGATGTAATTACGTTCTTTTAGACTGTTGAGATAATCGTGGCAAAGTAAGGTGAATAGACTGTGGTTCATTTTCAAATATGATGGATAAATTGGTTCGTATTGTTCTGATAACTTCTCTATAGACGATATAAAAAGAGGTGCAAAGGGGTTTCACACGGAAGGGCTCTCATAACAAAATGAACCCTCCTTCTTCCTCTCTCTGAGTTGACACCGACGAGCACTGTTTGATGGGATGAAAGCGAGATAGTGAATGGAGCCAGGAGAAGGTGCGCGAGCGGGAGCGAATAAATAGAACACATACATTTAGGTGCGGCGTCTATACGGTGTGAACTTGTGAACAGGCGAGAAAAAAGGAGAAGCATAATAGAAAGAAGTTAGTGAATGGGTATTAATATATATGCATCATCGTCGTAAAATAGAGACAAGTGGAGATGGCGGTCAGAAATATTGAAATTTTATATTGTAGCCTGAAGGGACAGCCGGTGGAAAGAATTCAGATTTGGTTGAAGATTCTGGAAAAACAAATACAAAAACGGAAACGATGAGGTCTTTTGGACGAAAGTGAGAGAAGCTTCCCGAATTGCCCTTCCTCGTTTATTACTGCAATTATAACTTCTGTTGTGTTGGCACCATAAACGGAAGAGCCATTGTCATTTTGCCCATTATTTTCTTTCAACTGTGCCTGCTTCTGTTTCTATTGTTCATTTCCCCGTTTCCCGGGGAAGCAAAGAATTTCTGAATAGAACAAGAAAAAGAGAAGAGCCATATTGGGAAAGGAACATTCCATGTACATTCCATTGCAAAAAAAAGATCACATGAGAAGAAAAGAAATCGAGTATTGATATCTTCTTTCTAGGATCAATTTGCATTCATGAAAACAGAAACAAAAGAACGTCGGAATAAAATGTTCGAATTTAGGTTTTCCCATCTGGTTTTCCCGAATTGACACTCCGAAGTCATTCATTTTTTCTCCCGGATAAGTTTGCGTCTTTTTGTATCAATTCCTGAGTTCTGAGTAGTACTTTGGAGCAAAGAATACCTGAATGGAAGCAGAAAAAACAGCCATATTTTGAAACAAGTGACGCAACAAATTGCATTTAGGCACCGGGTTGAGATTGTTTAGGATGGCCAGAAGGTGGAACCATCAGAATGACCAGTTACTCGTTTTTCAACTCCCATGTTTCGAAGAATCCAATACTTTTTTCAATGCATCATAGAGATAAAGTTTATCTAATTTGTTTTATATTTTTGATATAGAAGAATTGTATACCTGAGATTTTACTAATTGAAAATCTCAAGAATTGTGCAAATTGCTTCCATGATTTTATCAATTTTTGTGAAACTATGTTTCTGACCTTCAGGCAGTTCAATTTTCTGGAACAAAAAGAATAAAAACGACTTCAATACTTCAATATTACAATGAACACTAGGATATTCAAAAATAAAACTATTTATTTCTAAATTCTTCGTATCAGATATGAACGGTTTTCTGAATATCAATCTTGACCAAACTACAAGGCGAGTTTATAATGTGATCTATGAAACTGGACAGCATCTTTACAAACCTCAGTAACCTAATTTCAGTTCAGTTCACTGGTCTCTTTTTCTTTTGTTGCATAAAATACTACGATATTCTTTTTTTTCCAATTTGAGCTATGAACTCCGGGATTCCGAAATCTTTTCCTTTCCCTCCGTGATCTTGTTTTATCACCCATCTTTTTGCACATCCATTTCATTTTCTCTCGCCCCAATTGGCAAATGCTTCTCCTTTTTCTCCACGAAAAACCGAAGAAATGAAAGATTTTATTGGGCAAGAAGCAGAAGAAAAAGCTAGCCGGACACATTCTCGCACACGTGTTTACCCGTCAAACCTTCTCCTGGATCCTTTCGTCTTTTTCATCTGTGAGCCTTCATCTTGCCACGTCATTGCTCTCTATCTCTTTTCTTTTTTTTTGTTAGGTGACTCGTACTAAAAGATCCGCGAAAAACCTACACTATCCATTATTATTATGATTATGATTGTTATTATTTTTGAGAGACACAGAAAGAGGGAGTCGTCTGCATCTGCTTCTTCTTCTTCTTCTTTTCTTCCTTCTTTTACTTCTTCTTCTTGGCTTTTTCATCCAACTTCATCTTCCGAAGAAGCTTTTAACTTTCACACGTGAGGACACTCCAACTAATGAAATTAGAAGACGACGGGTGCAAGGAAGGCCCAAAAGGTGAATACTCATGTTCTTATGATATTTCCATTGGAAGAACGTGCTCCTCTTTTGGAGGTTTTCCCATCAAAACTACGATGTACCAGGTAAGAGAGCATGGGTTCAAGATCTTGCTGAACGAAAAATAGTGCAAAAGGCTTTTCTTTTCTGTATTCGGCTGGAACACAGCCATTCTATGTGGTCATTTGGGTTGAAAGAGTTCCCTTGGATGAACATTTCATTTTCAGACCCTTTGAGTGAGAGCACGTATTCATTCGTTATTTCATTTCAGTCCTTGTTAATCGGTTTCTTAATTCCTTTCCCTGCTTTTGCCACCACGTTAGTCCATTAAATAAAGCCAATTAGGTTTTCCCGCTAAGCTCTTGTTTAGAACGATACAAGGAAGTGAAATAGTAATAGGCAAACAAACAAAAGAAAACAGGCGGATCAACCCACAAACCAATAATGCCTAAAAGAATTAAGATTGAGAATCTTGGATTCAGAGAAGGCTAAGTCCACAGAATACTGGTTTCTATCATTCTCCAGATTTTCTGAAACAGAAATGAGTTCTTTCGAAGAAGATTTTGTATTTTACAGAAATTTAGAAATGAATGAGTTGTAGATATAGTCGGTAAACTTTTACATTTCTAGTTTGTTTCAACGAACTCTTACACGAAATGAAAACTTTACTCTATTGAAAAACTTATCTTTAAAGTGTCGATAAGTTAAATGAATAAATTGAGTAGGAATGCCCTTTTCAGAACAGACTGACTAAAAAAATAAATTATTGCCGACAAATGTGTTTATTTGATTGGATTACCCACAAGTATAAATGCCAAAAAGGGACACCCAATCAAATTCATTCCCGTTTTGACCTACGGACGAAAAGCTTCAGTTGTGATTTAGATAACTTCAGTGAGAGTCTTTTCAAATAAAATAAAGTTGCTCATCGAAGATATTATTCAAGTAATGATCTTGTTACACCTAGACATACGTCTCTTTTGAGTATATTCTAATTTTTCGTGTACTCGTCATTATACTTGAAATAAAACGAAGGTAATCAGAATCATCATCTGGGTAGGCGGCTCTTTCTCTCACTCTTTTTTCGCATTAAATTTAACGACATTGTCGTCTTTTTTCGTTTTCTAAAAGCCGAAGAAGCCGTATTGTTTCTCATTTAAACATTAGTTTTTGAGAAAAGAAGAATCTTTTACGTGTTTAATTTGATTTCTGGCTCCCGCTCTTGAAAAGTGTCAAATTTCTGGAGCTGTCACAAATTTCTCAAAATACTCGTCTCGTTCCCAATACGTTTTTCTTTTCTTTTGACGTTGTACTTTGATGATGAAGACATTCGTCGACAGCATACCAATTCAAGCGTCTCTTTTGGTTTTCTTCAAAAAAGTTTTCGTCAAGAACCATTGATGCTTGTCCCTCTGCGTCAGCCCATCTGAAACTGAAAAACACTCCATAACAATGCTCCATTATGAGCAATAAGTCCCGCCTCTAAAACGTCCTTTTGGACCCTTAATAGTGAATAAACTGAAAAGGACGCCCATTTCCATATTTTCAATGAATAAATTGTCATCATTGTAATAATAATAATAATGACCTATCCGTTTTTCTAGGTACCTTCTTCACCCACTTAATTTTAAAATGATCCGTCCGATCGTGCTGTTGCTTCTTCTGGTTGCTCTCGCCTCAGCATCCTACTCTCGTTTCGGAAGCAACAAAGTTGCCAAGTGAGTTAATGAAAAACTAATGATTGATATAGTTAAAAAAATTAAAGTAGTATTTTACCGATGATCCAACCTTTGTAAAAAAGAAAGATATCCGTATTCGAAATAAAACGAACAAGAAATATAATTCTTGTAAACTTTTATGAAAAACTAAATATTTCTTGAAAAAGCCTCTAAAATGGAAACTTCAGACAAGAAGAGGTCCATCCAAGCATCAATGACCAAATAATGAAAGGCTCGCATCATCGCTATTATGGCCGATTCAGGTTGGGGTTATCATTTCGTTTCGAAACGAATCACTTGATAATAATCATTATAGGGACGGCTCGGACGACGTGCTGAATCGGTATTTCAATCGACTGTAGCATGGTTGTGAACCTTCCCCTCTCCTCAATTGAATCATTCCAATCAACTGAAAACAAATCACTTCTAAACTGACGACTCAAAGCTGAACAAAACAATTAACTTCTTACATTTCTTCTCTTCCCCCCAAACACTTCCACATTTTTAATTATTTCACTCTGTCCACCCTGTTGATAAACCATGTTTGACACAAACTCTGTTTATTGAATATGATCGAAAACAGTCCGAGTTTGTGTGACTGATAAGAGGGACACGGTTGTGATAAGGTTTTCGAAACGAAGTTGCTCGCCATTGGTCTTCCATTTCACACCGAGAGATGGCCGTCAGGAGGCCTATTCTACTTTTGTTCCTTTTTGTTGCGGTAAGTTAACTATGATGAAACGAAGTGTTGCT